TGACCTGCCTAGGTTCATCCCGGCCACGGCTGCGGGGAGGTCGTCAAATTCTTTCTCCTCCGGCAATCGAATTTCGGCAGCTGTCATCGAGCTATCAAGGCGAGAGGGAGTAGGGTAGTAGTTTCGCATCAATCTTGAACCAGCCCCTTGCAGCTCCAAAACACCAGCCGTTCGAGCACGTGGTCGAGTGACCGATGCTTGGGAAGCAAATGCCTGCAGTCCCTGGACGGCCAGATTGTGACTGTGAATAGCAGCGTTAGTAGCAGCTAGCTGATCCTGTAGATGTGCGGCATATTGGTTCTCGAGGGCCAAGCTATCGTCGTCGTAATCATCCTCCTCATCTGCATACTTGTCCTTGTTGTTGACAGAATAAGAACGGAATCGGTTGTTAGCTTGCTTGGTGAAGTCAGCAAGACCAGGTAGGTAGGGTGTGGCCAACTGGGCGCGAGCTGGCTGCGGAGTCTCGGCTAGACCTAGATAGTCAAGAGTTCTCATATGAACATCATTGTCTCCGGGTCCTTCTTTCGAAAACGCAGACTGAGCTGGCGAGCTTGGCCCATTTGATCCAATGCTTGCTATGCTGGCGAGAGTATTACCCCTGTCACGGCCAGTTGGGTTCCATGTGCTGAAGACTGAAGGGCCGAACGGCGAACTACTCCCAGGCCCGTGGGAGAAGGGGCTACGTTGCGGCATAGAACCAGCTCGGAGCCTTGACAACAGGTTTGAGGATCGAGCTGAGTCCGGCGGGTCCAGACCTGGAGACGGTGACTTAAACGGGCTCTGGGACGGCGTCGGCCGGGTCGATTGGGAAGAAATCGAGGGGATATTAAGAAGACCATTTCCTATACCACCAGCGGGGAATCGAGATGGGACAGTGCCTGCTCGCGCACGTCGCGTCGAGGGTAAGCTGTCTGGGGTAGGCAGCTGGGCGAAGTCGGGAAATCCATCAGTTGGGGACTCGGGAATGTTCTCTCGCAAAGGTGTTGAGTTCCCACTAGTCGGCGGGCCGAGCCAGGGGTTTCCTGACAATCCAGGAACACCTTCTTGAGCTTGAATTTCTCTTGCTCTAGATCGGAACAGTCAGACACATCTCAGGTGAAAAAGGTCGGGTAAAGCTAGAATTTCAAAAGGGGTCAATGGAACTTACCTCTTGGAGAAGAGTCTACTTGAACCAGCAGTCTCGTGCGAAGGAGAACCAGCCCCGGAACGCGTGGTACCTGCCATCTTACCAGGCGGGTTCAAGACACCAGACAAGCCGAAGGGGGATCTGACGGAAGATGCGCCGGGCGAGTCAAGCGGAGTTATGTTGGCGGTGGGCGAAGTAGAACGACCGTTGGCTGATTTAGGGGGGTAGCCAATAGTCAGATGTTCAGATCTAGCAGTGGACATTATCGATTATTCATCCGACCCTCATCAGGAGTAGCAATAATAAATGCTCTCCACGGATGATAGTAATGGGCAGTTTTACTTCGTATAGTAGTAAATAGGTAACGAAGCCGAAAGAATTCGGAATGACGTGATGTCGAGTCGAGCAGGCGACTTTCTATACTTCTCGTCCTATAGTAATTTCAACGACCAAAGCGACGGGGTTTAACCAGCCACACCAGCGATCGCTAGACGTGCTCGGTAGATTAAATAGTCGCACACGAGGTCGTAGGAGAATAGTATCCTAAAGGAATGTGTGTGAAGTGTTGAAGGTAGTAATCCCACAAGTTGCTGTCTGTCTCTATTGCGGCTACTTTGGGTTATTACAATGAGGCGAGCGACCGGGCTGCGAGCGAGGTCGAAGCGGTGTTGATTTGATAGAATATTGAAATAAAGGGTCGAAGGTAGAAAAATACAAGGAATGTCGTAGACGAATTATTCCGAGGACGATGTCCGAGTCGAATTGGGACTGAGATAATGATTCTGACGAAGGACGGTTTTTTTTCGATTAGCCTTCCCTCTTTTTTTTCTCCTTCCTAGACGAAAACCCCCTTGAAGAAGAATTGGTGGGAGGGAAAGAAAAAAAAAGAACGGCCTGTCGGGACGGAAAACAAGTTGACCAAACAAGATCAGGATCAATATACAGGCTCCATTAAAGATCTACGTATGATCTAGAGGCGGGGGAAATATGAAGGAGACTTGAGCCTGGAGAAGGGCATAAAAAAAAGGGAAGAAGGAGGAAGGTTGGAGAGAAGACTAGGTAGACAAGACTGTGTAGTGATTCTCAGGAGAGGTTCAAAGAAGAAGAACGGACGGGTACGAAAAAGTACAGGGTACGAATTGGGTGTCTGGGAGCGCGAAAGTTGAAGTGCAGCAGGGAATGAGTGAAAGGTGGAAGGTACTATGGGTTTTTAGTGGGGACGATGGCCTCTTTCCTAACATATTCACCCAGTTAGACCAGTTTTAGTTACGAGTACCCGTATTCTACTGTGCCTATTCTGTATTACATAAGTATTTTATAGTACTATGCTTGTACCCCGCTTAGCATTTTACAGCAAAGATCCCTATTAGGTCCATACTGAGAATGACATAACTGGTACCTCCCATGTCCAAGTGAAGCACCAACAATCCAAAGGCACATGTGGACTTTGAAACAATGAGATCGCCCTGATCAACTAAAGAGCCCTCTCTTTTTTTTCTCCTCTCACCTTTTTAGTCTCTTCATACATACGTACGTACGTGTGTCCTTTTTTCTTCCTCTTTTTCCTTCTTCTTTAATTCGTCCATATTAATTCCAATCATAAGGCGGGTATGTAATGATTAGTTATACCTTCGTGTGATACTAATAATCAAATATCGATAAATACATTAAACTTATAGATGCAGCTAAGAACCAGCTTCGGGATTTTTTGCTTCTTCCGCAATATACAGTATATTCAGATATATTATATTCTTGATTAAACCACGCTAGGATTAATTGAGTCGCTTCATCAGGCGCTTCCACTTGTCCCTTTCTTCGGTTTTCTCGAAACAGGGGTAACCGGCGCATGATTGGAGAGAAGCAAGTTGTGGGAGAAATTTAAACAACCAGGCCACTCTCCGTTTAAGCATCAATACCGATTTGGCAGTTTAGACAGAGAGAGAAACATGTGTCCTGTGCAAGCTTGCCCAAGCATGTCGGGAAAGGCGCGGTAGTGCCCCCCAGTACTAACCAAGTAGACGAGGTAGACGAGGTAGACGAGAATGACGACATCTCACCCAGACAACCAGAACTGCTCTATTTCGGTGCTGTCCAATGCTATCGTACCGGATTCCACCTACCTATGCACTATGTACTATGTAGGAAAACAAGACACTGGGTCCGACTCTCGCTACGGGTTCTACGGTTCTTATCCTGTTTGGCAATCCGGCTTTTGGCAACGGTTCTCCCCACAATGTGTCTATCCAATCCACGTCGTTATCATCATTCCATAGCTGCTTTAGCCATGCCGGACTCCTATTAGAGAAGCAACACGGATTATCCCAAAGACCCTTCAGCACGTATCACGCAAAATGTGATACGGACACCCGAACCTGGTATACAGCAATTGGAACCTCAGAACACCCTAGTAGAAAAGAGAGCTCATGTACTACCGTTCAATGTAGTATGTGCCGTACTTGGAACTCGAAATGGGCAAGCCAGACTAACATGCTGTTTAAAATCTGCTTCAAACTGACAAGCCATCAACATATAAGTGCTCAAAGCGGGACGAAGCATCTAGTGCCTTTCCTTTTTCGGAAGGAGAGTTGTGGCACACCCCCTGACGTCGCATGGGAGAGGAGGCTTCATGTAGATGAAGGGGGCCGTCCTTCGAATCTGAGCCTCTCTACCTAGGTAGGCAGGTTGTAGAGATGCGACAAACTACCACGAACGACATCTTAAACTCCCTACTTAGATAGCGAAGACAGGACCGGGTTACACGTTACCACTGAGGTTTTCATTCTATTCTACAATTCTACATGCCACATCTCACACCTACATGTAGTCAAAGCAACGTGGCACTGCTATCTCGAAGTCGATCCCTGGAAAGTTTGCTCGATTAGCAACATCGAAGTCTATGCAGGCGGGATTTTATCACGAGGCAGACAAGCACTGAGTAAGGTTTCATTGTAAGTCGTCAGCACATTGATGGGTTTAGCCCAGCCGTCCAGCTACCTATCGTAGGTCAATCGTAAGTCAATCCTTAAATTCAGGGGTAGTAGTAGATGTCTTAGCAATCGGCGGTTGTCTAGCATGTCTTAGATACGTACATACATCAGTAGAACCATTCAACGTTTGCAGTACATAATCGGATCGACCTGTCGACTAAACCTTGTCAACAGCTGCAGCGTGATAATGTTTCCCCAGAGCTTCTCGCAACGACATCCCATCATTCTTGGTAGAAGACGACGTGCTCTCGACCCTGGTCTCGCTGACTGGCATGGATGTCGCATTGTGGCTTACGAGCTACCTAGATAGCCCTTCCACTACCGCCTTAAGATACGCAACTATTATTTCATGCTGGAGTCGTCACTGGGAGCCGAAACGCCAATCAACGGTCCAGACGGCATCGGAGGGGGATCTGCCTATAAAATCTGAAACGTCGCCCTCCAAGTTTCCCTCCAATCCAACATAAATACTCATGAGACTCGATTGGGCCACCGGCAAGCCACCCTGCAAGCTTAACAACTCGACGCGAAACCTTTCACACCACATTGGACGAAGGCGCAAATCTTGGCTTGGTGATTGATATCTTTCCACGTAAACTGTACCACCTTGATAAGTTTTTTTTCTCTCATCCTATCCGAAGTCCCTGAGGCGAGATGAGAGGGTTGGTCAGTCGCGTGGGTTTCTTCTACACGGCTGCATAAGACCCACCGTTGTAACATTGGAAAGCTGATGTTCAGGTACCATGGGAAGAATCAGGGCAATATAATTCTCCAGCAAGTGAATCACGCAACTACTACTGAATTATTGATATGATAAAAAGAAACAGAGACTATAATCACATTTTATCAGAAAGACAAAACGATTAACGAGAAAAAAGGAATCGACATGGCGAGGCTGGGAGTCGAACCCAGGTTTACACGGACCAATGTCATGACCACAACGTGTTGTACTACCGTTATACTACCTTGCCCTAAGGACATCCCGATAATCCGGCCAAGAGTCTACCTGTATTATTTCGAAATTGTTTTTTTTACTTATGTTTCCTACTGATTTTGTAGCAAAAAAACGACGTTTTACCTAATATATCCCTTTAGAATACATACTATTATGTACATTTGTAAGAAGCTAAAACAACGACATCGTCGTAGCCTCCTCGCCAAGGCCCCTTCCACGCGGACCTTTGTACTAGCCTCGCCTTATGTATTAACCACCCGTTTCGAATCTAAGGAACTTGGGTTCTTTGTTTTAAAACGTAGTTTAAATCCCATCGTCGTCTATAAATGACTTAGCGTGGAGTACGGACCGTGTCTTAGTATATTCGCCCCGTAAGGTCTATATTTAACTTACAAAGGCTCATCGACGAGCGGCAAAGAGCCCCCATTTCCATATTTTGAATTATGCAAAATATATACCAAGGCTTTTTTCTCTATTCCACTTCTCTTCTCCAGTTTCACCTCTTCCCTGTCGTTCAGCTTCGCCTTGCTGAAAAAAGAGACATGGCTATCTGGGCTCCCCTGCTTTTGATCGACGCTGCATGATGCCACCTCTTTAAGCTTCTATTTCTGTCTCGCGCCAACACGCCATGCTAAGGATCGGAAGTATTATCTAATTTTCCTTTTTTTCGCATGTATGAAGAAACATTTTAAGAAAGCCGTTGATAATAAACATGCAAGTCTAGGCGGATTGTAATTTTCTATCTTAATAGTACATATCAACAATAACTAGTGTTTGAAACCAAAAGTCAAGCAGCCACTAAAATAGTCCCAACATGTTCGAATGATAACACCTCTTAAAATAGTATTTGTCATCCGATCTTGCTTCTGGAAACAAAGTGAGTCGTCATATCTTACGCCATCCTTTCGGCACACTCCCGCGGCCGCGGCCGCGAACTCTTAAGTGTAAGTACACCAATAATGCATTAACAATCCGGCAATTGTTGTATCACGACAGCTATCCAAATAGCGGGCATGATGTTACCCGAGTTAACATACCTTTGGGTATTGATGGATATGTACTTAGGTAGTGTTTAAGCCATATTGTATCAAGTAAGGGCTCAGGCTTGTTCAGCTTGTTCAATATGACTTGGCTTTACCTAAATTTACATATAATTTTCTTTAACCATGGCGTTTATCTAAACATAGCTATAACCACCACTTATTATTAAAACATCAAGTTGTCAGGATCTACTTAATTCTGTAATTTCCAATTTTATCACATATTTCCTTTTATTAATATATATACAACGTCTCAGTAGGATTATTGTGACATATCACCAGGGAAAACTAAGCTAGCATATGTCCTCAAGTGCCAAATAACTTCACTTAAGTACCATGCTGGGTCAGGGCTAGTTAAATAGAATTTAACTAGGTATTATAATGTTTCAACTATCATTAGTCCCATCTGAATACCAGCAAGTTCTCGTTGGCAATTCAACAACTAAGTTGACTGTAATTTCACTCCTGTTACCACCGAGAGGCTTTTAACCAGAGTAAACCTCAGCCACACGAGCATCAAGTACCAACACCAATGGCAAGAAAAAAAGGCTCATATAAATGGGTATCAATTTCACTAGCATACTCTCTCCCTTTGAGACAACCTCATCAATACCTTAGGTAGTTAATCCTATCTCATATACAATGCCTCATTCCCCGGCTACATATCGCGAGTAAAATCAACTGGCTTAACAACGACGACCCTAATCCCTCTCCCTAGCGAGACTTTGGATGCCTCCTATTCCCAAGGACCTTTCTACAGTGTGTTCCAGGCTGTTCTGGGGCCCTCTAGTCTCAGGCTGGACTATTTCATTAGCCACGACCTACTCAGACAGTGTCGAGAGCACCCGTGAAACCCCCCAAGACAAGGTTCCAACAGCATATACCGACACCAGAATATGACGTATGCCACATCACAAAGCCCACTCGCCCTTATCATCATCCGTCGTGACGAACGGCTCATCAATCCGCTTGATCGCATAGTCGCTGCACAGGATACTACACAGAGCTTATTAGTCTGACCGTCTAATACTCCAACATAAGGAAGAATTTAGCAACTTACCAAGCAGAAGCCACAAGAGCATCTAACTCCGCAACCATGGCGTCTTTCCTCGCGCCGCTCACAAGACCCTTGCTAATCTGGACCTGACATTCCTTGATGCGCCTGCTCTTGCCCACGCCCGCCTGCTCGAGGACCTTCTTACCGAGACAGTCCGAGTGGAACGCGTGTTGGCACGGGAAGACAAAAAATTGCCTACTTAGTAGCGGCAGCGCGCAGGCGTAGCACTTTTCGCCGGGTTCCACGATCGCGTACCTGTGATCCAACCCAGCGATGTCGATCTTGATGTTTGCCGCCGTCTGGGAGCTCTCGTCCATCTCCTTCTTGAGGCCGTCGATGTTGCGCGAGTAGTCCTCCAGAGCGTCGCAGATCTCATCCTTGAAGTCGTCGATCACCACGAAGTCCGGGAAGAATGGAATCAGGTCCTCGATCTTGAGCAGGTCGCACCGCTTCAGGAACTCGATCGCCGTCTTGATCCCGTTCGACTGCGAGATCACCTTGCGCGCCACTGCTAGCCATAGTTTCTTCCGGAGCGTGGGGTTCGACATTGGTCGATCCGCGATAATGGATGCGTATTCGACTTCGTGGTGCGAAAGAGCGAGATCTACAGCTTGGACGTATTGCCCCATGTTCGTGTAGATGTGTACGCATGAGAGGGTTCGCTTGTGTTGGATACACAAACGAAGCGCAAAATCGGGATCGAAACTGGGCTCTTCGCCTTGAGATTCTAGATACGCTAGAAGTCCAGACTCGTCTTTAGAGCTGTGAGATGCGTAGATAGAAACAAGAGTGTTGTGGACAGCCGCATCTGCGGAGTGAAGCTGATTAATAACGAACTGTAGATATCGAACAGCTTGATTCTGCAGGAGTGTTCCAGTGAAGGTCCTATTATAATCAAGAAGAGCCGGTATAATTTTACGTGGCTCGAGTTTCGGATGTCGCATCAAGATCTCAACTAACTCATGACCGACGTGTGTCATTAGTACACTACTGTACCGATAAAAAACTTCTGGGTCTGTCTGCTTCTTGAGCACATTCAGGGTATCCGTCCATCGTTCTCTCTGCACCCAATATAATAAAACGTAGTTGTAGTCGTTTATGGCGTTAGCGAAGAATAAGAGTTCGTCTTCCCGAGCGTGGCTGCTGATCACATCGTAAGTTGTTTTGCGGTCGAGATCGGATTTATGTTTATTGATGAAGTCATGGAATTCGTTTCGAACAACATCTAGCTGTTGTCGTGGCTGTTTCTTATTTTCGTTTTCAGTCGATTCTGCTTCCACAGTAATTGAGTCCTCAAGAGAGTTGAGCTTCGCCATGAAGATCTCAACTAGCCACGCCGCTATTAGCATCCTCTGCATAATAGAAGACTTCTTGTATGTTGCGAGTTTTGTGAGAAGGTATTTTCGCAAGGCATCATTTTGCCCATGATCTATAAAAGAAAGCGCGACATCTTCAAACGGCTTGCTGCTTTTGCCATATACACCAGCGGCTTCGACGAATAACCCTTTTTCGACTAGGTAATCACCAGATGCTATCGAAACCGCATCTTTCTGTGCCGGAGTATGAGCATATTGCATGGCCATGTCAAACTGTTGTCTCTGCAGTAGAATTCGCCATATATCTCGGTCCTCATCTCGGACAACGATCTCGAATATTTCCTGGGCGGTGAAAAGCCAGAATGTGTTTTTCTGCTGGTCGACGTAGAGGCCTAATGCTTTCTGGCCCTGTTCTAAAACTACCTGGTCGAATATAACTGACCCCGTCAGCCGATTTGTCGTTATTACACGACCACCGACTAGACTGATAATATGCCACTGTGTTAATGCGATCGCATCGACAAACTCAGAAGGGGTCTTCTTCCGCCCCGAAGCCTCTGTCGAAACTATTTGGGACCTCGATAGAAGCTTGGACTCAGCATACACCTTATTTCCAAGGTCGTTCGCAGGTAATGTTAGGAGTTTCCCATGATAGACTCCATGGGAAGAAAGCCAGGCGAAGGCTCGTTCCGGGACTACATCCTCATAAGCATCGGCATCTGGGGAATCCGGTGAGATAGCTAGCATGGAAGGAGCAGTAGCTGAGCCCCGCGAAATCTCGTGTATGACGGGCTGTTCCGAATCGAATAATCTTGTATAGATAGAACCGCTTCCTTCATGGCCGCTTCGCCCAACTTTTCCAGCAAGGTGGAATAGACGGCTTTGTGTGCTGATAACCACCCTCCTTACATCAGTCTTGCCGCCCATATTATCAACCCATATTCCCGTGATTGGGCCATCCGGGAGTTTGTTTAGCGCCTTCAAGTATTTCTCCTCCTTCCTATAGAACTCCGTCGAGGTTTCAATAAATGTCTCATATATATTTCCATCGGAGGCACCTATCAGGATCTCGCGTGTGGTAGCCGTAGGCAGAGATGGATTCCAAGCTACAGATTCAACCGCGACACCGCGTAATCTACTTAGAGGTCGCGGTTGGCGTGACTGTGTATGTAGGTAATAGTTCTCGCCAAGTGAGGTACATATAAGTAGATGAGAGGCGGTGGGATCGAGGAACATGCGCCGGATGATGCCTACTTCGGAAACCCGCTTAGGAAGGTCGATATCTACGGGCGGTCTCAGTCAGTGTTGCCGACCTAAAGATTATATCGTCAGGAGCTCACCGTCTATATCTTCGGGTCGATTAAGGTCTATGCGCAATATGCGCCCGTTAGACAAGGCTAGGACGAGCACATTGTTGGCAACCTGAGATGCAACGAAGTCGGCGGCAATGGAGAATTGTAGCTGTACCGGCTCGACATCGAAAATGGGCAAGCCACCACCATCGGTAAGATCGCGAACGCCGTTCGTGGCGACGAAGCCGTTCGATGTACCTAATGACATATTTAAATCTGTCCGGTCATGTTGGAATAATCAAGTCGCGACA